ATATTTCATTTTCTTTGCGTGTCGCTTGCATTCTCCCAATATTCAGTGAATGTCTTTGTTTCTTGTCGTCTTTTCTATTTCACTGTAGTTTGAGTAGCTGCTGAATTTATTTTTCAATGTTTATATGCCAGCGCTTTTTATTTAATTTTATACTTTTCTTGAGAATTCCATTTATACGATAAGTTACAGAGACTGAAAGTATTTGAAGTACTCTGTCACTCTTTTGGCATTAACTTGCCAATGATAAATATTTGTCAACTGTGCGAGATTACATTTATGTGAAGTTCAATACTACCAATGGACTTGTGGAACGGAAAGTATGCTCAGCGAGATATATTTACATTTTACATTTGAAAAACATGAAAATGCCAATATTGTGTTAATGTAGTGAAAATTGGGGAACAGCATTATATACATATAATAATTTATTGTTTATTAAAGGATTATATTCACTTATGAATTTCAAAAGAAAAGATTTTTTGTTTTTTATATGTGTATATCGAATGTACATATGTATATTTAAAAATATTCTCCGAAATTTTGAAGTTGATCCGGGAAATATATTCAGAGATAAGAGAGTATTTAAAAAAAATTGTTTAACTTTAATTTAATTAGTTTTTAATCGCCTCCCAACACTTAAATCGCGTTTTTCTCAAAATGCTGTTTTCAGACTCGATGTGGCAAATTTCTCCGAAATGGCTGTAAATGTGATTTTTTTAGTTTTATTTATTACATAATATGTCTCTTCAAAAAAATGCACAAAAAACACGTTTTTTCTGACTTGTAAGTGAATATGAGCTTGGGCGAAAGAAAATCGTACAGAAAATATTTATAACAGAAAAATATGTATATTCAATTATAGGTAATTTTAATTTATTATGAATATATTGAGAGTAGCGATTGTAAAGCACAACGTATCTATGTTAATCATAATAATCGTTAGGTGTGTGACTTTGCTAAAATGTGCCTAAATGGAGGCAACATTTTTCGCCATTTTACAAGTTTGACACACCAACGATAAATTATAATATTAGCCTGTTAGATACCACAACAGTCCGGCATTCTAAACTGTCCAAGTGAGATCTTTCTTAGAATCGACCTATTAACCTAACTTATTTAGCCCCATGTTAACAATACTAGAGACCAGGTTATAGTAAAATAGGTGTTTAAAAAAGGGAAACATTAAGTTTGAGCAATAAAAAACTATTGCAAAATGTTAATACATTTTTATTTAAACTATTTTCCTTAATAAAAAATTCAAGTTAGGTAAATCTTCCTTAAATTCCTTAAATTAAGATCGCGCATTTCGCTTTATTTTAATTTGTGTACAGGGAACTCATTGACCTTATTTAAAGTGCACTCGAGCGTGTCTATGCTGCGCTTTTTATATTCGCATCAAGCAATAATATGTGCTAACTCAAGAGGCCTGCATACATTCATAATACATATGTATGGCGACTGCTCACATGGAAGCAAGTGTACACAGGAGTGATATTAGGGTTGTCTGCTTGACTTTGTGTGCATTAGAACATCAAATGGGACACACAAAACAATGAAGTGTCAAAAAGATCACTGTCTGAGAACGAATGATGGAAGTATCGGACTTGACATTTGGCCAAAGAAATCTAGGCTGGAAGGTGTTTTTTTTTGGTGTAGTCTTCAGCAGTGTAGGCTGTGAGAATTTCTTTAATTTGCTGAAAGTCTAAAAGTTTTGCTTTTGTAAATACAATACATTTCCTATTCTATTTATCAACTCTTCACTTCTTGCTTCTTTCCGCTAGCAGACGAGTGCATGCTCTGCACAACAAATGAGACAGCAACAACACAGAAAAGCGCACACATCAGTTATTTTGCGCTGCTTCATAAGCCCCAACTTGTCATGTGTGAAATCCTTCTTTTTTTCATTTCATTCCCACATTGCGCTGGCAGTTAATTACATTTGTGCTGACTCAGCGTAACTCTGCCAGTTTGCCGCCATTTTCCCAGCGCACGCCATTGTGCCACGCAACATTCACAGCCTTTCGCTTCGAAAGTCACCGCACGGCGCTAAAATCGCGTTTAATTGAATGTTTTCATGTGTAATTATGAGGTGGTGGCAACAAATTATGAGTCCTTTTGACTCCGTCCGTTTAGTTCACGCACTTCGAGCCAAATATGCGCTTTGCTATTTTACAGTTTAGCGCGCTAAGTGCAACCAAAGTCGAGCCGGTCACGAAATAACATGACACTGCAGCTGGCGGTTAATCGGCGTTGAAACTAGCCAAGCATGCAATTGGGAATGACGTTGTGGTGATGCAGGCGGTGTGGGTGTGAAGGTGTATTTAAAATTCCGTGATTCTGTTGAAAACACAACATTTCACAAAAGCTTTCCGTAATTTTTTTTTCATGTTAGAAATCGCTAGACAAACTCTTCGAGTCGTAAACAAACAGCTGCCAAACACACACTAATTGACGTATGGAGATCAAACTTCACAAGAATATACATAGAAAAAGGTTGTACCCATCTAGGATAATTTTCTTTATTTATTCAGGTTGCGGAGTTTAAATGAACGACTCAAATTCGACCAGATGCTATACGAGGTTAGGTATCTTTAGTAGCCTGCTTTATTAGCCCATAACAGGAGATTTTCTGAACTTATATCATCTCAGAGAGCTTTTTGCTTATACTACTTGAAGAAGGTCTTGAAAGTGGAATGAAATCAGTGCACTAATATATTTGATATTTATGTAATCCTCAAATTAAATTGTCATATTCAATTCTTTGCAAAGAGAATTTCCTACAGCCAATTTTTTTTATTCCAATCATGCCCACTTCCATTATCTTTATCACTTCTCATTGTGCGCCGTCACCTACATTATGTCTCACGCCTTTGCCAGCACGTTATTATTAATTATTTAAGTTTAATTATTTCGTGCTGTTCACAACAATTAATTGCCACAACTGTCGCTTTATTTATATATAACGAATGCTATACACAAATATACATATATTTATTTAAGCAGGCTGAGGTCACTGGCAAGGACACGCCACTTGGCGTTCAAATTAATGTTTTAAACATAAAATTGCCTGTTGAAGTAAATACAAAAAATATGTTGCTGCTAAGTGCTTAATACTTTTGAGCTCCAAAAATTTGCCTGACAACAATTGTCGCAAAAAAGCAAGTAAGTGACAGACACCGAGGCGTATACGCGACATTCAAGTAATTAGCTTTTAGCATATTTTGCACATAAAACAAATACTTACATATACACATACATATATGGTTCATAAAAGCGCCACTACATCATTGCAGCTATTCAAATGCAAAATTCTCTTAAGCTGACAGCTGTTGCTACTGAGCCAGCAGGCTAAGCGTGTATTGTCCGCACTGATTAAGTTAGCTTCATAATAATTTTAGTAGCGCTTGAAAGTGTCGTTTTGTCGTTGTTATGCGCTGTTGTGGATTTTCTTTTACTTTGCAGCTTTAGTGCCCTTCTCCGCCTTTTGTTTACTTGATCACTTTAGTTGCGTGCTTCATCAGCGATTCATAAATACTGTTGCAGTTTTTGACAAGTAAATAAGAACAGTATATTGTATATAGTATATGTAATACTAGGGGACCCCGCAATATATTTTTCAGAATCCCGAAAATTCGGAATTAAATTATATTAATATTTTTCAATTAAGCATTCTTAATTTTTTTTGGTAAAGAGAGTAATACTCTCGTGATCCCGAAACAAATATTTTAAAATCCTGAAATTTCGAGCCTACGAAACTAGCTGAAGTACTTACATCCATATATTTAAGAAAGATCTCGGGATCGAGAGACTAATATTACATAATCCCGAAATTTCGGGATTAAGCAAATAAAAACGGTAATGATCTCGGGATCGAGAAACTAATATTACAGAATCCCGAAATTTCGGGATTAAGCAAATAAAAACGGTAATGATTTAGGAATCGGAAGACAAATATTACAGAATCCTGAAATTTCGGGACTGAAACTATTATAGTAATAGTTTTCAATCAGTAAGTATATTAAAAATATATTTGAGATATAATTTTAGTCTCGGTTTTTGAAACTATTTCTCAACTAATAAATATTGACCGATATAAGCGGTATAACGTATTGACTCGTGGCTAGGGGAGATATTGACCCGATTTTACCCATTTTTGACACAAAAGCATGCTGTTATAAAAATATTCGCTCCTAATTTCAATACCAGGTCTCACGAATTGACTCTGGTGGCTTCAAAAGTTATGGCCCGATTTCGACAATTTTCAGACGTGAGATGGAATAACTTAAACGCTTTATTTGTACAAACTTTTATTGCGATAACGTCATTGACTCTCGATTACATAACACGAATTTTTCAACGAAAATTTGTTTTATATCGAACTTTATTGAAAAAATTTTTGTATTTTTTGTATAAATATGATTTCAAAAGTATTTGTTAATAGTGCATATATGTATGTATATATTATTCTATATATTTATTGATGCTGAGCTTCATACTATATTTACATTACATTTTTGAAAACCCACAGAAATATTAATTTGAAGCTGAACCTCATTTAATTGCTCTATTTATAATAATTTTAAGATTTTATTATTTTTCTTTCTGCATATAAAAACTTCTAAAAACTAAATATTTCCGAAAATTTATAACTTTTCCTACTACAAATACAAGTTTACGCTTTTTTATTATTTAATTTATTTTAATTAATTTTATTTCTCCTCCCTTTCAACTCTTATGTATGGATACCTTTGTGCACAAACAACAAACACAATCACAATATGATCATTATTTTAAAAACGGCAACAACAACAACAACACCCACAACTATATCGATTTGCGTATCCTGCTGCCGTTGATGACAACTTTGCTGGCAATACAATAACGACAACACAAATGAAATAAATTGATTAAACTTCAAATCAAATGCAACAAACACACGCACGCGTTTCGCTTGCACGCACACACACACACGCTATGGCATACTCTCGAACCATATACAGGCAAACTTGCAGCAACACAATGGCGCACACGCTTCGGCCGCCCCTCGCAGGTGCCACGACTGGGCGAAGTTGATCCTACAGGGCGTTTTTGCGCCTTTCCCGAGGATTGGCTCAAACAAAGAGCGGGTAAAAATCACAAAGAAAACTAATCATAACACATAAGCCGGGCACTAACACAATTTTCGTTTGAACTTTTGCCTAATTTTTAGTTAAATTTGAAGTATTCTATTAAAATGTTTGAAAACATCTTTCAAAATTTGAAATTATACACTTTTATTTTAATTACTAATGATTGTATTTTATTTCACTGTATTTGATTAATTTAGCGGCCAAGGCTCCCCCTCCCACCATGTCGGATTTACGGCGAAGTGAGTATTTGTTGTTTGGTTTTATTTTTTTATTTTTTGTTTTGCAAATACACTAATGTTTTTTATTTATTTACAGTTTGCATAGTGAACGCAGTGCCATTTATCGCTTTTGGCTTTCTGGACAATTTCGTCATGATAGTTGCGGTAATCGTCGTTTTACTTGACTCCTTTCTAATTTTCAAACAGTTTTCTCTTCTTGTTTTAACGCCACAAAATATTTCCAAAATGATTTTGCTGAAAGCAATAAAAATCCCTATAGATTATTGTTCTTCGAACCTTTTTCTTTTGCCAACCCATTCACTCATTATTTTTCCTCAACTGAATAATTGATTCTCTACATTATATTCTTTCATTCGCAGGGCGACTCAATCGAAAGCATTTTTGGCGCCTTCATGTGCATCTCAACGATGGCCGCCGCTGGTCTCGGCAACACAGTGAGCGATATACTCGGCATCGGCTCGGCGTATTATGTGGAACGTGGTTGCGAAATGATGGGCTTTCGCTTACCCGATTTGACGCCAGTTCAAATGGAAATGAAATCCAGTCGGCACTCAGCCAATTTGGTAAGAAAAACAGATAAAGCGCAAACATTTTCTTCAAAGTTTTTACTCTTTATATGCTTCTTCTATTTAGGGTCGCATTATTGGCATAACAATTGGTTGTCTCTTGGGCATGGTTCCTCTCCTCTTTATGAAGAAGAAAGATCCAAGTGAAGTTGCGGCTGCAAAATCCGAAGATTGTTAAGGCTCCAAATTTTTCGTTTAATTTTTTTGTTTTAATTCCGTTCCAAAATTATATTAAGTTAAAGTATACCTATGTATAAGTGCTATACTTTTTTTCGCATAAATTGATATAAGATATTTTTTCATGATTTTAAAGGTTAGAATTGATTTTAGCAATTGGTGTTACTCAGAAAGATGCAATAAATGAAAGAAGACTAAACAAAATATTGTACATAAATACATAGCAAATTATGTTATCGAAAAATAGTTCAATAACATTAAAAAACTGGTTTTTTTATTTAATTATACATTTTACTTTTAAATTCATATACGTAAATGTATATATGTATTTAGGTGTATGATTTTTTACGTTTATTATGTGCAATTGACTTTTTATGTTTAACATACTTTTTTTAACAATATTGTTTTAAAATTTTGAGCGAAAATATATGTGTAATTTTTTAAGAAATATGCCGTATATGACTTTTTTACTTATCTTTGATTAGTAGGTGAGCCTGTTTTTCAATAAAATTTAGATTTTTTTTAACGTTTGTTTTTGTTTTTATATTTTATTACAATATTGGATTTTTCATTGGTTAAACCCACTATTTTAATGCGCTTGTAAATTAAAGCAAAGCGAACTTTACTTCGCACAAAAATGTTTCAGACGCGCGTAACCATACTTCGAGTATCAGTGAATGATGCTTCGAGAAATATTGTATATCAATTTTGTTTTAGAATAGATCAAGCTGACTGTGCTTGTCTAGAGAAAATGAAACTCACACTAAACGACAAATCAAAAATAACAAATTCTCCTGCATATTTCAACTTTCTTATTTCATAACTCATTTGCAAATTAACTATTCAATCAACTAACTATATGCCTTACACTAATCACACGTGTACCTTCAACTTATGTATTGCTTTTTTAGAAAAAGAAATTTAACACTTATTGAAATTCGTATTATCTACCGAAAGTATTAGCAAAATTGTTATATAGCCACAAAAAACTGCTGAAGCCTGACTAAAAAAAATATATACTTATAAGTAAAATGAAAATAGTATATACTCACTTAGAGCAATGATAAAGATAAAGGTAGAGAAAAAATAAGAAATAATTAGAAAAATTAACTAGCGAATGTGCTAGTTTTAAGCTCTTGAAATATTCTAGTTTATTAATTAAGTTGTCTTAATTGACTTAGAATTGAATATATAATATTATTTTCTGTCTTCCAAACATAATTTATCAATTATAGCGCACAGTAAGAAATTTATGTTTTATAGGTTAGGGATAGTTTCAACTCACAGGCTTTTAGTATTATGCTAAAAATTGCTTTATTGTAGATGAAATACGTTAAAAATTCGGCTGTTGTCTAAAAAAAACTTTCGAAGTAAAATACTATTCTAGTTATTCGTGTTCTCCACACTTTTTGAGGTTATATTAAAATTCTAAATAAAATAAAAATCAATAAGATTTATAAAACTGCCAACTGAATTGCTTAAAGTGCAAACAAATCTCAAAGTAACATGAAAATGTATACCTAAATGCTGCCCTTTATTAATTATTAGCGATCACAAGTCAGCCCGTCCTAATTAATATTTCTCGCGTTGCATATTATCACAGCTTCAAATGCAAATTTCACACTAAACATATGCATGTATGTATGTATTTATTTAATTAAACGAAAATATATATTGTACAAATAAAATTTTGAATTGCTCAAATGCAGTATTATCCCAGCATGGGAAAGCAACAAGAAAGAAATTAAAAGACACCAATCATTGATGTTAAAAATCTAAAGTAAAGCAATAGCCGAATATATAATTATATAACAGTAAGAGCGTATGTTACTTTAGTAGAAATATTAAATTGAGCTTTATAAATGGCAAACAAAACATAATAAATTTAATATACTGTTAGTTTATGTGTATACAAGTAGTCGAACAGCAGAAATTCAACACAAAAGGTATTGTAGAAAACAGGCTTAAATTTAGTAGTGAAAAAGTGTAGTTAAAAAAATGCAAAAATAAAATGTATGAATACCAAATAAAAAAGTTACAAAAAATTGTATTTCATTCCTCTTGTTGATATTTTAGACATATTGCAGGATTTTGACCGTCATACCGCTTAATCCAAATAAACCAAGCTGATTGGACTGTAATTTAATACAAAAAAAAAACAATACAAAGTTTCAATTGTTTTCTCAGCAAATAATTATATTTATAATTAATATGCATACTCCTAAAACAACATGTATATGATAACATAATAACTGCTGATTAAAAATCTAAAAAAATTTACATTATCGGAGGGCTTACATAATTATTAGGATATTATGGCAGTAGCTGTCTGCTTAATTTTTTTTTTTTTATTTACAAAGGTAGCTTCTTACAAAAGCTATCACTACAACACATAATGAAATAAGTTTCAAACACTTTGCTCCTCTCACTATCAGCTGTATAGTTTGTGAAAATCTTGCCGCAATTTAGAATATATGTTTTTCAATTGTTGTAACTGCATCGAATGTGGAACTATCTCGCCCTCGTTGCTTGCCATGCTCTCATCAAGCGCGGACGCTTGCAGAAGCGCATTTGTGCATCTCGTTAATTCACATTGCAGTTGCTGAAAATCGAAATGTGTATATAAAAATATTTTCAGAAACAGTTATTGAATATATATTTACCATCCGACTTTGTTGTCTATCGCTTGCACCAGCTTCAGCACAATTCGCTAACAATGCTGGTATGCTATTTAACAAATGAAGTTTAAGATAACATAAAGCTACCGCATCCATACTTTCCAAAACAATATAACTCTCCTCAGGCATATGTGTAATTTTGATGGCTGTTGACATAAAGTAACATTCAACGCTTTGTGCTTCCACATTTGACACATTTACGCATTTGGCAATACTGCTGAAAGCGCAAATAGAGGGCAGATGCAAGGTATGTTTCAATATATGCTCTTCATGCGGAGTTGACAACTTTTCGTCGTCCATTTTCGCTCTTGGGTATTTCTTTCGCGTTCGATTTAAGAAATTCGCTATTAACTTTTGTATATCATAATTATTACAAATGGTCACACAACGCTTATAGCTGGTGAATAGCTCAGCATAAGTAGCAGCATTTACTTCCAAATCAATGGGCAACGACACCGCTACAAAATCGGCCTCTAAGCATACAAGCGTGTACAATTTGAGCTCGATTTCTGCTAACAGTTTCTTTTCAGTGCGCTTTAAGGGTAGTACAATGCATAATTTTTGCTGTAGCAGCGTATTGGGTATGTGCAGCATATAGCTGTCGCTGCAATCAATATCTATATACAAGTGCCAAAGGCTGCCACCGCCATGCAATATATCGTTCTTGTCGATTTGCATATATATAAGTGCCACATAACTGTCATGATGTAGTTGGTAGTAATTATTTGCATAAATTATAATCACATCAGGTTGGAATGCTGTTGGCAATTGTACACTGTAAACCAGACGCGCTTTCACTATATACCGATATAGGTGACGATTTGAGGCGACGGCCAGCAGTTGTTGCTTTACACACTCTTGATCGACAGCTGCATGCATTTGTGTAGGCAACTGTGTCAATTCGTCTATTAATTCCGCGCGTGCGAGTAGACGTGACAATCGCGACGGTGTCAATTCGTACAGCTTTTGGAAATTCTCATATTCCGTATTTACTGCTTCCGAAAAATTGGCGCATAAATCAGACGCCTTAGCGTTGGTTGTCCTTTCAAAAGTAATTTTATAAAATATATTATTGCAACTTAAACAAATCAACTGCCGCTGAGTTTCTACCCAAGTGCATGCTACCATGCCAGGTATGACTTTATAGGTCTCTTGCACACGACAAGAGTCCATTTCGGCATCATAGCTGAAATGCAGTTGCGCCACCTGTTCTTCGTCTGTAAAGTAGAAGCAGCGAGTGCTGGCTGCATACACTTGGTGACTATATTGTGAACCAGTGTGATGTTGCATGCGACGCAAGCCACAAATTAACTGTGAGTAATACCAGATATCAATGGTACCACATTGCAGGAAAATAAGGCAGCGTTGCTCAGCATAGTCTATGTGTACAGAATCAACATTCGTAGCATATGTACAGAGCAGCTGTATGTTATATTCACAACTACTATTAATATCATCTTCATTATGCTCGGCTGTGGCTAAAAACAAAATAAAGCATTATCGATCAAAATAATAATTCCTTTCCAATGCGTCATAACAAGTACCTACAATCAATGCAAATACGTTACTGGATACCGTAAATATATGTAGCCATTGTCCAACTTCTAAATCTACTTCATCCATAAGTACACACATGAGGAAATTCAAATTATTTTCCGTAACTTGTTGAGATACTAGTGTATAACGTTCATCTTCCCATGAACAGTTGAAAAGATTTCTGTCATCAAATGTTATGTCACATCGCTGCAATAATGCTGGTGCATTACGTCCTATGTCTGGCACATCCTGATACATCTCTAACATAAGTGCCTTCTCTGTTGCTACGTAACGTATGCAACTAAATCCAGTTGGTGGTGCCAAAGCCATGCAACGTACTCCACCTCCAGCATCATTGAGCCAGTCAACTGCATGCATAGATTTAACTGAACTAAAATAGTATACATGTCCACTACGCATAAGTAGCAATGCATTCATTTCGAGTATGAACATATTGTTTACTATTTCTCCTGAAGGCATTGGCAAACGTACTTTTGTTAAACTAATTTTTTTCGTCCGCTTTGAGCGTTTGAATACAAAGTTGAGCAGATATTCTTCATTCCATGTTACAAATACTGTTTTCCCAGCATCGGTGCCGTGATTTGTTAAACCAAGTGGCTGGAAGAGCGTGTCATCATCTATAGACCAAAGTAGTTTCTCAAATTCTTTATCTTCCTTCGCGGCAGAAACATTTTCACTTTGTTCATCTATGTCCATCGCTTCGACAGGATCCAAGGCAGTTACTGATTTTGATGTGCTCCCACATGTTGGCACTTTAAAACCACTCATAACTTAAAACAGTTAAAAAAAAAATTTGCAGATGTAGTTTTAAATTATACATTTGTTTACTAATTTTCGCGGTTAGTCGAGAAATGTCAAAATCCCCTGCCCGAATAAACAACAATGCTTTCAACACGAACCGTATTCTGAAGAAATTTCTTTTTGGAATATATGGATTAGAACGATTACGTATACGTATAATAACTTATGTATAATAAAGCCCTAATTAAAGAATTATTTAGGTATTATAAATTCATATAATATACCATATATTATAGTAAAATAAGGATATTATAACAAAAATACTTTCCCAAATGTGTACATGCGCTTTGTGCAACCCTGGTGGAACCATGAAATTTTTCATACATTTCCGAACCATTCCGCTGAAGAAACGCATGTGAAGCAAGATATGTCATTTCTATTAGCCATTCACAATCGTGTGAAATTTACCACACGGTGTTGTGAAAGTTTTTTGTTTTGATTTGTAAAGCATTATCTGTAAAATAATTCGACTTTTACTTAGTTTTTTGCATAAATTTTTTGTTTGTTAGTTGGTACGCACAAATTTGTAGTATAATTCGGTATCAAACAAAATACGAGAACTATCGTTATTAACGACGTAGTAAAAATGGCTTTTGGGCGTAGCGCCAGAAAGCGCAAAGACAATGGTGGCTCACATTCGACTACCACAAAGGCGAGTCAGGTAAAATAATGCAAAATAGTGACATGTGTTAGTAAGATATTAAAGAATTGAATTTAAAGGTGATGCCTCATGGTGAATACATCGATCGTATACGGAAATCACTTTATTTTGGTGGTGATACACTCGTCGAGGAAATGGAAATGTCCCGTCCACTCGCCGAATATGCTTCCGAATTATTTTCCGCGCCTCATAAGGGGCACTCTCTAAAACGTTTGAGCAAAGTTGCGGCTGGCAGTGTACATGCTTCTCCCTGTTCACTTATAATGGCTTTGATATATTTGGATCGCTTGAATCTGACTGATCCCATGTATGTTCTACGTATAACACCCCAAGAGCTTTTTATTGTATCAATGGTAAGAATCTATCTACAAAAACAATGGGTTGATAAGTTTTTGTTTTTTTTAAATAATGGTGTGAGTCATTACGCAAGACATGTTGGCAACCTGTTGAGTAGCCGCAATGCCTATTTTGTTATTGTAACAACATTCCCCAACTTTGAGATTATTAGGACTTCTTGTCTTTCTTTACATTTGTTCCTTTAATAGGTTATATATACGAGTACAAGTATGTGTATGGTTATACTCTCAAGGTCATTTTCGTAAAAATTCTGAGCTATATTGAAAACCTCAATCTAACACTCCATTTGGTTAATTATTAACTGTTGTTAGTTGACAAACTGTTCTTATTAAATTAATAAATTAAATGTGATAGTTGTTGTAGTAGCGGCAGAATTATGCTTGTGTGTTGATGTCACTAAAATCGATAGGCTGCATAATCAAAACTGATAAACGCAATGGAAATATACATATTTGTAATTATTTTTAGCGCGTGAGTTATCTGTTTTGACTTTTTAATTATTTTCTGATTTGTGGTTTTTTATTTCGTTTGGTTTACCATAGAAATATACTTGTTCAGATTTATTTATTGCTTTAAGGGATACATATATGTATGTATGTGTATTATTGTAGTTGTAATCTATATATAAGTAGGAAATGGGAAATTATTATATATTTGTTTATAATCTGCAGATGATATCGACAAAATTCTATGCTGGTCATGATGAGGAAATCTATTTGAGTGATTGGGCTGAGGATGGGCATATGACTGAGAAAAGACTGAAGAAGTTAGAACTGGAATTTCTGTGTGCTATAGTAAGTATAAATAACTATTCTATGTAAGGATCTGTTCATTTATATTTTTACAAACAGGAATGGAATATTTACATATCGAATGACGAGTTTTTCAGTAAATTAAGTAGCATTGAGAAACATCTCGCACGGCGTGAAGGTTTGCGACGTGGTTGGCTGACATACACTGAACTAAGACAAATGTTACCATCGTTTACATTGGCAAAATTCATACTGAATAATATTGCTGTAATGGCAATTAGTTATGCGGCCAGTGTTATAACCATAGCTGGTGCCTTCTTTGTGGCTAGCCAAATTCCTGGAACTTCACTATATCGCAAAGCTGTGTCTACGGTAGTGAGTGATAATATCATAGTGCAACAACCACCACCACCCATTGTTGATTATGCTACTACACAATTAAATGCCCAACAACGTCAAAGGCGCACTAATAAAACGGAAATGACAACAACGTCAACAGATCAACAAGCATCAGCTCTAGATAGTGAAAACGCATTCAATGCTACATGTGCAGCTCTGAATGTGGAAGAAGAACTTTCGAAGTTGGAGTGTGAGTATAGGTTGGAAGCACAGCGTGAAGCTGTACGTCAACGTCAACATGAAATTGAGAGCGCTACACGCCTGACATTGCCCGATGCAACGCAACACATCGTGAGTGGAAACAAGAAATCAAAGAATGCCTGGTACACAACACATTTTGGTAATTGGTTCGCTTTTAAGGAAGAATATGCGGTTGGCAGGCTTAGCGTTTGGTTGCGATTACTAGACGAATTGAATGAAAGAGACTACACGCCTGCTTCAATAGAAAATAAACTATATGAAAGTGACTATATCATTTTGAGAGACTGGAACTCCGGAAACTATACATCGGTATTCTGGCACTTTATTAGCGGAACCGCTCAAATATCTTTCATGCGCTTTCCATTAGCTTGGTTTAAATTTATTTAGCTTATGCTGATATTCCTTGCAAATATGGAACTAAAAATATTAAAGCTCGCATCAGCAAGTGGTATATACATACATATGCTATATTTTTGCGATTCTTTTAAATGAATTCACCTTTCTGATAGATAGACAAGCGAAATTTTTATAAATACAATATTGCAATCGATTGTTGAATTAATTTGAGTTTAAATTATCATTTTATTAACACTAAATACATATATAACTTCAATAATGCACTCAATTTTACATAGCTAAAAAAAATTTACATGAATATTTATAGAGACGATCGTTTGACATGTTGCACATTCAAACATTTTGTCAACACTAATCAATTTAACAATATATGAAATATTCATTATTTGAGTCTTTTATTACTACTACCACCTAATTATTTTAAACGAGCAAGAAGGAGTTTTGCCTTAGACATTGAAAGCTTATTGATCGAAACCGAAATAAAAATTATGCATAAATAAATCGAAGATGAAAAAATAAAATAAATATCAATAAGGATTTCTTAACTGCATTAATATACTATATTAACTGATCACAATGTGAGAAGAAATGAAAAAGTTCACATTTTACTGCATAAAGATTGCACAAACTCTAATATATCTATATATAATAGTATAAAATTATGGTTAAAGCTAAATAATTTTAATATTATGCTGAAGTCGAGAGTGAATTGAATACTAATTAACGATTAAAATGTTATTACAAGTCATGCATATATTTTAATAAAACAGCAGAAACACTATATTCAGTTTGTTAATCATTACGTAAGTAAAAACTCAGATGGCGCACAGTTCCGCCATATTTATTTTTGTGATATTTATTTGTGCAAGGGTCATATTAAAGCACAGCTAATGTTGTTGTACATTTACATTATTCCAGAAGGTTGCTGCAGATTTTTATTTTTAAATTTGGTCTATGAAACATACTGACAATATTCATACATTATAAAAAATACTGGTAATAAAATTATTAAAATTTTTATTATATTATTTTTAATAATTATTTAAATTATTTTGAATAACTAATTTTCATAGAAGTGCGGACTTACCTCGCGAATGTGTGCGTTTTTAGACGTAGCTGAAGCACCAGCCATTTTGAATTCCAAAGAAAAAATGCGATAAGACTGCACTAACTTTCTTTAAGATTTTAAAATAAGCTTTACATATTTTGCACACTTTAGATTTATGAAACTATTTAATATATCACTTTTTTAACAAATTTTGCAAATTTTTCACTATTTAACTAGCTAACACTTCATTTTCACTGCATACAATACACACACAAATGCCTTCTCACTGAATATAACACTGCACGATTTTTCACAATTAAAAAGATATGCAATCATAATACAATAACACTAACATTAAGATATGATTTCTGCCTTTAGATTAAAAGATATCTAGCTTTAAATCAGCGCGAGTTAGAAAAGCTTCACAATTTCTCAAACGAAGTACCGTAACTAAAGAAAAGAATAAATGCTCACTTCCAGCTTTACACTTCCTTCCGCTTGGAAATACAATTGCCATATCTTTGTTTATCGAACTTAAGTTTACATTATTTATGAATAAGAATATTTATATATATTTTCTAAACATAAATAAGCTATATCCAACAGTTCAAATATATATAGTTATAAATTACATTTAATTTTATAAACTTAATTCAAACACATAAATTGTACTCTTGATTATAATACTGTGGTAACTCAATTTATGTTCACGTGTTGCCGCTTGTTTTTTGACATTTTGGTCAGCAAGTGTTTATACCCGGTTTATGTTTTTCTGTATGGTTCCATAGTATCTTTAACAATAAAATAATTAAATTCGAAAAACCATGACAAAAACTGAAATCAGCGAAATGCCTAAAATTCAGTTGGGTGACTACATAGTAATTCAGCGACAAAAGTACACTAAATTGCAGAAATTCGGCAATTTGGATACAACATCTATGCTGGGTAAAGAACAATTGGAATTACGCGGGCTTTTGGATCAACCGTACAGTGCCACTTTTAAAATGTGCCCCAAAGAAACCACACCTTCCAAGCAGCGTGGACAACGCAATCTGCGTCTACACACACTACAGCTGTGTAATGAATTAGAAATGCGCGACATACGTGATCGTTTGGGCATTTCGGCAAGTGGTGCTGATAATCGCGACATAATTGACGATGGCGATTCGCAAGCGTTGCGACCACAGGATATCGAAGAGCTGCGGGAACAGCATAGTGAATCGACTAAAATTATCGAAAAGATTGTTGAAAACTCCAAAACATTTCACGCCAAGACCGAGTATTCGCAAGAGAAATATTTGCGTAAAAAGGAGAAGAAATACTTTGAATTTGTGCAAATACATCGACCCACACTGCGTTTAATTACAGAGATTTACTATCGACAAGATGCTGACAAAGTGATGGGTATGCGTTTGGACACACTCTCACAACTTATCTCCTACTCAGGCGTGAGTGCATTTGGCAACTATTTGATGTACGAAAGTGGCACAAATGGCTTGTTACCAGCAAGCTTCCTGAATTCAATGGGTGCTGGTACCGAGGCAACATTGGTACACATGCACCCCGGTAATGTGCCACAAAAGCAGGCAATGTTAGCTTTAAATTTGCCACTCGAACAATTGCAGCGTTGCATTTCGGTAAATTTGTATTCCGTATTACGTGAATACTATCAGGGGGAGGGACATGAAAACTCGGAACATGCAGCAGTGCCAGGCACACCATTAGAAGAGATAGAGCCAAGCAGCAAAAAACAGAAACTAAACGATGGTGATGCAGGTTAGTAAATACAATATTCTGCAATTAAGTGATAAAAAAAAATAATTTTTTGATCTACAGCACCCACGACAACGTCTTCTACAAGTAGTGATAGTAATGGCGAAAACAATGAGACCCCAACGATATCATCAGCTAACATATCTGTGCAAGCACAGAAATGGCAAGTGGAAAACCGTCGCGCCTGTGAACTCATGCACGCAAAATTCGATGGGCTTGTCATTGCTGCCAAGGAACATCCGAGCAACATAGTACAAGCCTTATTACCATTTGTAAAATCTTCCCGACCTATTGTTGTATACAGCCAAAGTAAAGAGCTGCTCATGGATTTGCATGTAGAGCTAAAGAGCAGTTCAAATGCCACAAATCTGCATTTGACTTCAAATTGGTTACGTTATTACCAAATATTACCTAACCGCACGCATCCGGAAGTAAATATGAATGGTAATAGTGGTTACCTCTTGTCCGGTTATACTATAGGTTAACAGTTTTAGTTTATAATAATTATTTTACTATAATTAAATACAGTCATATGTATGTATGTAAATTATTGACGTACACTCTTGTTTATATATTGACTTAAACCGGTTTTACTTCCTTCAATTGGAAATAGAATCCACACTCACAACGTTTTGGTGCACCTTTTTCAAGCCACATCCAGTTCACAAAGCGATTGCCCTTACCTAGTCAGAAACGACGGTAAGACAATTAATTGCTTTTTCCAAAATAAATGAACACAGCTTTAACAACTCACAGGAACAACCCACAATACGCCCATCAAATGCAGATGGTATCATTGTTGGCTGCTCCTTGGTGCCGGGTCCGCGTTTCAAGACCGTATCGAGCAACCAAGGATCTTTATTACCAGACTTCCATTGTTCCAATTCACGTTTCTCTATGCCAGTTGCGTGATCCATGGGATCATTCATTTCTTTGGGCGAAATTATTAATTTAAGCGTCTATATAATAAAAATATGTGTCTACGCACCCGCTAAACATATTTTAGTACTTGAGATGCGACGCACCGAATTGAAAACGACTTTAAAAGCGGTTTTCCGAAGTGCAAGTGAATAGTTGATTATTATTAAGGCCATACTTTTGTAGGAGATTATTGCTTCGTAACTTCAGATAAAGACAAATATCTCAAAATTTACTTTTAATCGCTGCTATTTTCAATTTTAAATAATCAAGTTTTACAAAAAATGCGAAGCCTACTTCACACAAAAATTACTTGTTTGCGTCTCCTATACTTAAAATAATATTTTTTACTGCTACTTAAGTTCAGTCTACAGTAACATTGAAAGAATGTTGGTTAACTATTCAATTATTAATAAAATTATATGTATTTATTAAACTTTTTCAAAAACAACTCGACTACAGAGATAATTAATTGGTGCGATTATCGTTTAGCATTGAAGACTTCACTCTTATTGATGGCAATAAAAAAGACGCTAAACCACTAAGGATAATTAAGAAAAAAGTAGAAAAATTGTTGCGACAGAAATCCTTCCGAAAGCAAAAATAAACCGATATAAATTAATAACAAACAAGGCTTTTGTCTTCGACACTGCAGTATGTGTTCTATTCATCGCATACAGTTAACATTAAATATTACAGAACACTGTAATAATATTTCATTTATTATTTATGTAATTCTATGCCAGTGGTGATTTTTGGCTTTAGCAAAGCAGCATCCAACATAGCTTGCAACTCTTTCAAACGTTGATATTCTTGCATGAAGCTCTCGGTTTTTATTTCACTATTATTTTAGAGTTTTGTGGTTGGTTTTGTGAATTTATTTGGTTACTTTTTGCTTAGTAAAATGAAATTAGCAGTTTATTAAATTAATTGATTTAAACGGGAGCCTTTTCAACCAATTTGAACCAATGACCGCATTCGCAACGTTTTGGTGTGCCCTTTTGCAGCCACATCCATTGTACATAGGTTTGATCTTCTTCGCCTGGTATGCGGGAGGACGACAAGCAACAGTTAACCGAAATAAAATGAAAATAAAGAAATATTCAAAATAGTTTGTTAGCATCAAGTGATCCCGTTATAATTGTGATTTTACTTACAGATGCAACCCACAATACGGGCATCGAATGCTGATGGTATCAGGTTGGGAGTGTCTTTGGTGCCAGCGCCACGCTTGAACACTTTCATGTCGAAGGGATTATCGTTACCAGCGGCCTTGGCCAGAAGTTCACGCTTTTCAATACCGGTAGCGTGCTCCATAGGGTCGTTCATCACTACAATGAATAATATAAGCACACAAGTGTGGAGTTAAAATTTTATTATGTATTTACAAGTATACAAATGCATATGAAAACAAGTTATATTAAGTAATTATAATAAATATTTTATTGTATTTAAAGAGGTGAGCAGTGCGGCTGTAAAACACCTGAACATCGAACTGCCTAAAACTGCATATCATATGTTAATAAACTTTTTGTTTTATTTAAATAGTTTAGCTAGTTAGACATTCTAACAAATGAAAATAAACATCGCATATTGGCATATGATTGTGTCAAACAAAAAAAAAAATTGCAACTGTAAAAGGTTACATAAACAGTTTGCGGTCATCGGGGGACTTTCAATACATTTGACATGCATTATAGTAATCTGACATTATGGGTGTCGGCTAATATAATCCCAATGAGTTAAGAAAACATTATATTCATACTTATGAATAGAGAGATAAATAAAAAAGTGGTTTCGAAGAAATCTATTGATAACGTGAATGAACGTTCGGCTGAACGTTAATAAATGGTTACATAAACCGTGAGTTTCTCATCGCTAGCGTTGAAAATATTGCTTGTAGTTATTATTTTTTGTAAAATTTCATGAAAAAAGTGTAGAAACTCCAGTTTTATGTTCTTTAACATTACGTAACATTCACATCCCGACCCTGCCGCTAATGCTTAGATATACACGAGAAAACTGCGTGCGAACTGTCAAATAGGTGCCATATGAAAAGTTTGCAGTGCCATAACCTTTTGGTAATGCAGCTTAAATAGCTTCCATTACTTTTTCCTAATTAATCCCGACATGTGGAGGCGCTAGAACTACACATCACGGTTTTTTTCATTTTATGCGACTGCCCTAGGTTTCACTTACTTTTACAGAAACGCGCTGGAGTGTATTGCAAATTTTGACGTGTCGCCGCACGCAAAGCCATACGCCCACAAACCGAAGCCATTTTTGTGTAATTTAACTACTGAGTTTGATTTCAAATCAACAAATATTCGCGATCTACGATCACACAAAGTTTCGATTTTTGACAAAAACTTTAATTTATTTCGTAATTTTCAACACACACAAGCTCGCTGGTTCGCTCGTCGTCGCTGCTTGAAAAGGTGAAAAGTCAAATTGACAGCTCCGCCGTGGTGCTGTTGCCATTGCAAAATTACAGAAAATAGTTGAGAATGGGCAGCACTGCAAAATAGCGAGTGCATTAGTTGTTAGAAATGTTTTGCTTATGGAAGCTGTTTGGAATTGAAAGTTTTTTCATACATTTTTGTATGGTTTCATTCGAAGACACGGTTTAATAGCTTTGATTAATACATTTAAATATTTTTAAAATCTCAGGTTTCGTGATTATCCGGCAGCACCGGCAGCACTATTAAACTAATCGCTTAAAATTCGCGTTGCAATGAACTGTTGCTAGGAAACGGAAGTGAATAACATAAGCCGACTAATTAATTCAATATAAATTATTACTTAAAATAAAATAATATTGTTAAAAATAACTTAAACATGTCGAAAGGAGTTATTTGCTTTGATATATCGAAAAATGAACGTTTCCAATTGACGGATAACTATAAAATGTTGCACCGCAAACTGAAAGTAAATTGGAAAGTTGAACAGTAAGTAGAAAGCTAGTTTTATTCAAAATGGTGATAAAAAACTGTCTAACAGGAGCGATGGTGAACTGAAGAAAGAGCGGCTACAGCGTGTGGGCATCTTTGTTTTGGCCGGACCGCAGGATCGGTTCACCGAGGAAGAGTTCCAAGTGTTGAAGGAATTTGTAGAAAAGGGTGGCAAATTATGGGTGATGCTAGGCGAAGGCGGCGAACAGGAATTTAATACAAATGTGAATTTCTTTCTAGAACAATACGGCATATATATCAATAGTGGTGAGTGCATTGATATATGTATAAGAACGCTAGTGGGTTATATCTTTAATCTTTTAGACACGGTGGTGCGCCCACATTACTATAAAAATTTCCATCCTAAGGAGTGTATTATTGGCGGTGGTGTGGTTTGCGAGTCGATGTGGCGGCATTTAATCAAACAAGATATCGAGAAGGTCGATTATGACTTTAGCGATGAGAAATACAAAATACACTTTCAATATCCATATGGTGCGACTTTAAATGTCTCAGAACCGGCGAATGTGCTACTAAGCACGGGACCTGTAGTTTATCCTTTTAATCGGTAAGCATTATCTACTTTAAATGTGTACACTTTTATTAGTATTTGGCGACTTTCTAGACCGCTAGCTGGTTACTACGTCAACGAGCAGGGCGGCAAGATACTCGCCATCGGCTCTGGTTACATGTGGCACGATAAGTATTTGCAGAGTGATAAGACAAACGACGCGCTACTGGAATATTTTATACAACTTTTGGGCGGCAATGAAATACAATATTCACATTTGGACTTCAACGATGTGGAGGTGAGGAATTGTTTGACAGATGACAAAATTACCTGAAATAATTTATAAATTAAGTGAATTTGATATGTTTCGCATTTACAGATAAACGACAACAAAACCTTCACCGATATCGCCTTCATCGCTGATTTGCCGAAAGCTTGTCTGATCGACTCCATTGGCGGCACAGAAACACCCGCCGATTTCAAACAAATGTTCGACATGACAATCTACTCGCTAAGTAATCGTTTGCTGAAGGATGTAATGGCGACATACGAACAATTGAATGTCAAATATGAAGCGTTAAAAATAATTAAGCCGCAATTTGAGATACCGTTGCCGCCATTACAGTTAGCGGTTAGTTGTGAAATATTATAACATGTATAAAAGCAAGTGCTAATATTTATTCTTCTCCTTCGCTTTAGACTTTTCCTCCTATCTTCAGCGAGCCTGCCGCCCCACCACTCGAACTCTTCGACTTGGACGAGGTGTTTAGCGCTGCGCGCACACAACTGGCCAATATGACCAGCAAATGTGTGCAGTCCATTACCGCGAAGGATGCACGTAAGCCGCTAAATACACGTGAATTGGAGAATTATATTAAAGAGTGTGCGCGGATTACGGGCATCATACACGAGCACCAAGATGTGCAAGCGCGTGAGATACTCAATATATTGGCGCGCCAGATCGTAAGCTACCGACCGTATGCAGATGAGTAGTGGACGCCACAGCCGAAATAGGAGCGAAGGTGTGATATTTCGACACGAGGCATAGTCTAGACTAAATATTTTTTTGTTTTTTAATTTTTTAAATCATTTAATTTTCAGTTGCTTTTGTTGTGAAAGAAGTTGGAATGCAAATGTAGTATTATTTAACGTTTAAATTGAAAAATATGCAATTTCCAGCAACAATGCGCACATATACATATATACTAGTAAACACTCTACTTGATTACACTTAAATTGCAAGGAGCTGCAGTCACTATTTCATTTTGCGCACATCTCAATACACAGGTAGGTACATCCAAGTCTTTTTGCATGCTTTTATATATACAGGGATATATATACAGATAGCCAAGCGACTCTGAAAACACTCCCTTAGGGTTTTGTCAAAGATAGTGAAATAATGCCTGGATCTCTTAGTGGATCTAACATACTATTTCACGATAAACCTGCAATGGGTTCTAGGACATAGTGATATCACTGGTAACTGTGAAGCAGATAAACTAGCCAGAGTAGGCATCATTCTACAGCTAGACTCCGGAAAAGAGAGAATTCATATGCCTCTGACTACTTGTAGATATTTAATCGACAAACATGTTATAAATATAGCTGAGTCTCGATGAAGCAAATACTGGACTTGCTCAAGTTCAAGTAGTTCAGAGAGGAGACAATAGAGTGAGAAGATTTTAGTCCCGGTGGTTTGACAATAGGCCTCCTAAAGGCCTAGTTGCGTCGTCAGACAGCCACTCTACCTACCTACCTACCTGCAACACAATTAGTACTAGTGAAGCCTGTAGTTATTCTTTGGAATCACCACTTCAATTAGAATTCAAAATTTTTAACCTTTTAATGTTCCAATATGTATACACATCGAAATACATATGTACATAAATTTTTGTGTGTAAACACATAAGAAAAATAAAATGTCAACACAAATTATTTTTTAATTTATCACCCAATGCTGTCTAATTTCGTGCGCATGCGTATCTGCGCAGTCAAACTTCAAGCTAGTGCTTCTTCTTCACGTCTCCCACACTGTAATGCCATAGAAATGCCGATTTTTACACTTAAGACTTCACTAATAGACTACACTTGGCGCTTCCTGAAGTGCGGCAGAGTAGCGTGGCAGCTAATTGAAGTGTTGACAGCGATTACCGCATAAATTTATTATGTGAACAATCTGGTTGTTGGGGTACGTGTATCAAGATTCACATGAAGTGAGGCGTGAGGGGAAAACTGTGATTTTTTTCCTAATCATGCGGAAGCTAAGTATATTGGGGGAAGACTGGGAAAATGTAGCAGCTAATTATTGTAAGTGAATGTTAATGTGCTCAATAATATGAAAGCGATACATATTTTGTAGTGGCCACTAGGGACTTGTTAGTTTTGTTTAATTTTTTGTAAATGAAATGGTAAACAATGAAAGTAGCAATTACAAATCAAATCACAAAAACAGTTGTCGAGCTTTAAATCAAGAAGTGCGGCGATTTTACTTTAAATATGCTAGGAGCTCGATATCTTCAACAGTACTTATATGTATATTTGTTCCTGTTACTCAAGGGGTATACATGCACACCAAACACATCCCATCTTATTTCGCTTTTTAAACACATCCTTGACGTACGCCTCTTCTTACTAGTATACTGCTACCAAGTTGACTTTCATGAAGCAAGCGACAACTGACACCCGAGTACAGTCACTTAGTTCGACGAGGCATCTGGCACTCATTTACATTTTAGAGTATCCGAAATACAATAGCATATGAAGTTCTGGAACGAAACGTGAACTTTTCATTTCTAAATCCATTGTCGAGTTCCGCAGATTTACTTCATCTGATAATTTAAGCAATAACTTTATTGAGGCAACACAGTACCGTTATTCCTCTCCAGGTATTGCCCATTATAAGATCACTCTTTTTCACTTTCTTATCTCTTGAGTTAGCTTTTGGATCAGCCAGATTTGTTGAATGAGGGGCAAGATCTAAGAGGCGCTCTGGCGCCTAATTTCAAGGTGCTCCAGTTAGAGAGTATTTAAACGGATAAAAATCCGGTTGCGTTCCGACTAAGAAGACCCAACTTTCATGGCAACTGGACTATTTTTTTGGATGTGATTGGCCACTACAGCATCTGCGATCGTTAATTCGCCTTTAATTAAAAAGACCTAAGTGATTCCCATAGTTTTTTATACAGATGTAAACACATACTACATACATGATTATGTAAATATTTCGTTAAAACTTGAAAAAAAATTTCTATATTTTTAATTTTTTTTTTAAAGATACAATGCAAGGTGCGTCTATAGAAATCAGTGCTGTATATATTTACATACATACATTAACCTATACATATGTGAGCCCTACAGCTGCCGCCCTAGCCGAAATGCACCATTTCAAGCGCCTCGTTGAGCAAACAGTTTTAGTATTTATATACATAAGCGATATGTGTATGTATGCGTGTTTGCATGTTTGTGTGTTTGTGTGTACACACTATACGTTGTACACCTTAGTAATTCGACACCATAGGAAGTTACCTTGAGTGCATTTCATTTCACTTTATTTGTGTTTTTTTTCTACTACCAGAAAAAAGTCGTCTATCTCAAGCACACATACATATCCACATACATACTCACATGTGTTTGCACGCTCGCATGCGCAGCCATAGAAATATTGGCGTTCATTCATGGTTTCACAACAAGCCATATTCAATGACATGGCATCTGCATGAGTTGAAAAAAGCCGTTTTTTATGAATGAACTACAAAAACTATTTCTACTCCAACACCAAACCACTTGCGCTTAGCCCTTGCTATGCTGACCAAAAGCGAGACTGTTGAAAGGATATTCGATTGCTAATAAATCATTTCTAATATGCAAATATTTGTTTAACTTTTGACTCTTGCTTCAAGCCTCAGCTGCCGAAAAGTCAAATCAATAGTGGCGCTTCATTTCTACACTTGAGAATTCTTCAAATAACAAACAGGACATTCAATTATTGTCCAGCTGCTCACAATATTTTCATGCACTTTTGAGTCTTTACTTTCCCTTGTTTGTTTGTTCGCCTAAATAAACGCCCCCGAAAATATTTTTTCAATGTTCACAAAATAGGCACAGTACTAACGGTATCATTCGTTGTTTCCTTGATTGGTTGGAAGTGTTTTTTAGGTTATGTAGAGCTCACAATGCAGATCTATATAGTACCATTTCAATATTTATTAGTTTTGCAGGTCGAAGAAGCTTCATGATATATAGTACATAGTCCATCCAGCCCGGTCCTGCTTTGCTTCAAGTTGCCTGATTTTGTTGAATACCTAAAAATGCGGAAACTAGACATATAGCCTCTTCTTCGTCTTAATTGGTGGTTTTTAATGAATTCGTTAATATTTTAAAGATTTTTGTACCTCAAACCACTTTGCTAAATTAAATGGCTAACCTCTTACTCTTTCTCATTTAAAATATATATCATAGGTCTAGTAAAAAGAAATCCATTTTTTTGCACTAAATTGAGAGTTTTATTTAGCATAATTAAAATGATCCTTTTTATGTCAAATAGTGGTATTGTTTTACAATGGTCATTTTGAAGATAATTTCCTAATGCCACTACTATATACTCGCAAACTCTGGTGCCTATTCGCCTAAAATTGAGACATTCGATTTTCACCAGCTGCTTTTGAGACAAATTTTTTACCACCAAAATCATTCGCCTTAGACAGAAACAGGTAGTAATTACTTGATGCCAGATCCAGAGCATAAGGTGGATGCAAAAGAACCTCACAGCGAAGCTCCCAAAGCTTCTGGCGAGTCACTATCGATGTGTATGGCCTGCTTTGTCCTAATGGAACACAATTAGTCTCCAAGTGGAAAGCTTACCGCTTCTAGCTGATCGTTTCCTTGACATGTTCCAATTGTTGACAGTGCAGGTTCGAGTTATGAGTTTGACCGCAGGTCAGAGTAGAGATTCCCTGTCAATCTCACTACTTCCTCAGTAACTTCCCCACCGCAAAACCTGACTGGCTGACACCCAAGAACGATGAGGTTAAACGAAGTACGAGCTCTCGTAAACTTCCTTGGTGTGTAAGTATGATGAAAATCACAGTTATCAAGCTTGTGCAAAATTATTAATGGCAGTTGTTGTTGTTTTATTGGTAATTGAAATTCTCTTAAGGAGTAAGTTTCAGTTTTGTTATCGACGTCATCTAATTGCATGATTAGGGAACAAGCTGGAACGAGGTTGAATTGGTGGAAAAATTGTATCCTGATTTTGAGGGTTGTATGAGTTACATATGTTTGATGTGTTCAGATCAAGTTAGCACAAGTGACGCCTTCAACCTGTAAATATGTTTCAGAGCTCATTTATGCTAGTGTTACACTGGTCTCAAAGTGAGGTTGAGAAGAAATGAGGATAAATCTTTGTCGATAACTCACACCTTTCAAACCTACAATTCCCTTGAGTTCGCAAGGGCTTACCGCTATCACGAAGTGAACTGGTATAATAATTAGCACGATGTTTAATCAATATTGGGTAAACTAGTACAGCAAGAAGTATCAAAACATCCAATTAGAAATTCGATTTCACTAATTGTTTTGGTCCTACATTGCGAACGATTTGCCCATAAGCTGAGCGCAATGAAAAGAAAAATATGTCATTGTCTCATGGCACATATAATTTTCAACCAACTAAAAATCTTAGAAACAAATGAGTGGCTGCGCTTTCTGCGCTATCTCCTATCCGCCAACGTACTAAGCTCCATCTAATTTCAGCACTGCATTTACATTTAAAATTTTTTTTTGCCTTCAAACCTAGGAAGTAAAAAGCCAGTTTAGCTTTCTGGCGCTAACATAACAATAACAGTAATGATTATTTTAAGAAGATGATGGCGATAAAATCAGAAGGCGCCACAAGCGAAAAGCTTGAACTTGGCACTCGTAATGGTAAAGCCAAACGTTGTTTTAGGTGTTGTGTTAAAAATTATCATAAAATCGACGCGAAACGCTGATTACCAGCGTCAGTTAAACATGAATGCTTATGAAAAACAAATAATAATAAAAAAATAGTGAGGTTAGGAGCTATGAATGAGGACGCATATGCTTAAGTGTATTTAAGTATGTACCTATGTATGTGCTTGTACAGTTAGTGTCCAGTTTAGCCTTAGCCTTAGCATTGTCACTGCGTGTCTGTCTGACTATCAAGTGGTGGTGGTAATGGCGTTGCGGATGATGCTC